TAAAATAAGTTCAGACTAACACCACCAATCTGCTCTGAACACAGCTTAGCTAGCCAGCTAAAAGTATTATCTGTGTCAACAGGATAAAACCTATCAGTGCTTATTCTTTGAAATAGTTTAATTCCAACTAGGAACTTTATAAAGGCTCCCTTTAGAAGCTAGGATTTCTCCCCTCTTTTTCCCAACTTCCAATATACTGTCACTTGTTTTTCCTTTGGATGACAAGACTAGGGCAGTGATTGTCCCCCTGTACTGGGCACTGGTGAGGCCACACCTCGAATCCTGTGTTCAGTTTTGGGCCCCTCACTGCAAGGAAAACACTGAGGTGCTGGAGCGTGTCCAGAGAAGGAAACGGAGCTGGGGAAGGGTCTGGAGCACAAGTCCTGTGAGGAGCGGCTGAGGGCACTGTGGTTGTTCACCCTGGAGAAGAGGAGGCTGAGGGGAGACCTTATCGCTCTCTACAATTCTTTAAAAGGATGTTGCAGAGAGGTGGGGGTCAGCCTCTTCTCCCAAGTGACAGGACAAGAGGAAATGGCCTGACAGGGACATGGTTTAGTGGCGGGCCTGGCGGTGGGAGGGTGACAAATAAGCGCAGTGCTAGGTTAACAGCTAGCCTCGATGATCTTAAAGGTCTTTTGCAACCTAAACGATCCTATGATTCTACATGCTTATGAAGGACACTGTAAAAGTATACCCACACCAATTAAAGCAGAGTCCATCATAAAGCTGTCTGGAATATTTTGGAAAGGACACAGAAGTTGAATGTTCCAGCTTCCAAAGCTGTCACTGCAAAGGAAAGCTGTGCCATTGATCTGGTATCAGACATGATTTACAGCATGTGAGCATGATGGATGTGGCTCCCTGAATTACAGTGGATTAAAGCAGGAAGAGTTCTGTTGATGATGTCTAGACTTGTATCAGGATCAACTCAGCAAGGAGATGAGGAGAATCAGGCCCTCCCACTGCAGGAAGATGGTGTCACACTTTAGTGGTGACTTGACAGGAGGAAAATTCCAGTATTCATACATGATAAATCACACACATCAAGCTGAGCATACAGCTTGCAGCCAGCACTCTCCTGTGAGCAGTGTAGCAACCAGGACCACAGTGCAAAGCATCTTGCTCACTGTCTTCACAGCTTACTAATCAACTCAGCATTTGCTGTCTTCTGATAACTAAGGAATTCCAAATTACAGTTGTAGGGGAAGTTAAGAGGGTCAGGAGAGGTGAATTATGTTGGCATTATCTAAGATAAGAGAGCAAGAAGTTGCTTCCAAGCACCTTTAAGAAAACACTTCCTTCCAACCATAGACAGCAAGTCCCTGTTACCAGTCATATAAATAAACTGAGAGCCATATTTGTTTCAACAGCTTCGCTAGCTTCCATCACAGACAGATCCATTCTTGTCTCCTGTCTCAGCAATGCCAATTGCTCTAGGTACACACCTGAGTAGTTTCGCTCTTCTTGCATAGAAGTGGCCCTCACTTGTTCAACCAGAAAAATATCTGCATATGTGAGAATTAATTATGCAGCCTCCATTAATTATTTACCTGTTGTGATAGGAGCTACAATTAAAATGAGGAAACTGATTTTACTGCTCATTCCCTTATGTTGCTGTCCCAGATAAGGAGAAGGAAAGAAGTACTGTTTTTAAATTAACTCAGTGTTTTGCTCACATAGATTTTTTTTTTTTGCTATGCACTCAAATTCATTCTTTAGAAGGTAAGACTCTGCAAACTTATTTTCAACGAAGTCCACTTAAATAATTCCCCAAGATGGTAACATCTAGACATTATCCTCACACTGTAATCCCAACAGTCCGACCTACACCTGACATGACAGTCATGCATTGTGAGGATAGCACTACAAAAACAAGCTATACATTACTCATTCATTCTAAGGGACCAGGACTAACATATTGATTTAAAAGCACTCTGAAGAATGAATGGCGTTCCTCAGGGACCAGTATTGGGACTGGTGCTATTTCACATCTTTGTCAGCAACATGGATGGTGGGGTTGAGTGTACCCTCAGCAAGTTTGCCGATGACACCAAGCTGTGTGGTGCAGTCAACATGCTGGAGGGAAGGGATGCCATCCAGAGGGACCTGGACAGGCTGCAGAGGTGGGCCACTGCCAACCTCATGGAGTTCAACAAGGCCAAGTGCAAGGTCCTGCACCTGGGTCGGGGCAATCCCAAGCACAAGTACAGGCTGGGCAGAGAGTGAATCGAGAGCAAAAAGCCAACCGTATCCTGGGCTGTATCCAGAGGACCATGGCCAAAAGGTCGAGGGAGGGGATTCTCCCTCTCTACTCTGCTCTCATGAGACCCCACCTACGGTAATGTGTCCAGCTCAGGGGCCCCCAACACAAGAAGGATATTGACCGGTTGGAGCGAGTACAGAGAAGGGACACAAAGATGATCAGAGGGTTGGAGCACCTCTGCTATGATGAAAGGCTGAGAGAGTTGGGCTTGTTCAGCCTGGAGAAGAGAAGGCTCTGGTGAGACCTTATAGCACCTTCCAGTACCTGAAGGGGGCCTACAAGGAAGCTGGGGGGGACTTTTTACAAGGGCCTGTAGTGACAGGGCAAGGGGTAATGGGTTTAAATTGAAAGTGGGGAGGTTTAGATCGGATATCAGTAAGAAATTCTTCACACTGAGGGTGGTCAGACACTGGAACAAGGTTGCCCAGAGAAGCTGTGGATGCCCCAT